AGGCCCTTTATGTTGCCCAGGATAGCTTTGAACTCCTAGTTAAAGTAACTCGCCTGCATTATCTCTGGAGTTCCAGCTGGAACTACAGGTGGTGCCACTGTGCCTGGCTAGAAGGATGTTTGAATTATTTTCATAATAAAAAGGTGTGGGTTTTGCTTTTTTGTTTTTTTAAACTATGGGAGAGTCAGGTGTCAGTGATTCAGGCCTATAATCCTAGATGCTCAGAAGGCTGAGATCTGAACATTGTGGTTCAAAGCCAGATTGATAAGCAAAATCTGTGAGTTAATCGCAAAAAAGCTGGAAGGAGAGTTGTGGCTCAAATGGTATATTATTAGCCTTGAGCAAAAACTCTAAGGGACAGCACCCAGACCCTGAGTTCAAACCCTAGGACCAGTACAAACACACACACACACAGAGAGCTATGGGAGCATTGATGAAGACATGTTGAATTAAAAATCCTTTGTATAGCTACTTAAAAATAATAAAATCTATATGTAAATTTTTTTAAAACTCTATGGGACCTGGACATAATGGCTCCTACCTATAATCCTAGATACTAATGAAGCAGAGATAGAGGCAATCACTATCTGAGGCCAATCCAGGCAAAAATTTAGTGAGACCCTCTCTCAGTCAATAAGCTAGGAATAGTGGCATATTTTTGTAATTCCAGCTATGTGGAAGACAGGGTGTAAGTAGGAAGATCGTGATGTGAGCTTAGGCCTAGGCAAAGAGAGAGAGATACAGAGACAGAGACCCTATCTGCAAAATACCAAAGCAAGAACTAGAGGCATGACTCAAGTGAAAACATCTCAAGTGTTAAAGCCTAGTAAACAGGAGGCCCTGAGTTCAAATCCCAGTACCACCAAAAAGCCTGGGAGAAAGGAGAGAAAAATTAACTAAAATAACCAGGATAAAGCCAGGCTAGAGGTATGGCTCAACTGATAGAGAGCCAACTATGCAAACGAGCAAGCAAGCCAAGCAATCACACAAGGCTTGAAGTTCAAACCCAAGTACTGTCAAAAACATGCAAGAAAATCTTTGAAAAAATTCTTACCTACTCTTTTGTCATTTTTTTACCTTTCATCATATTGTTCCATGGAATGCTAAAAATCTTCACCTTTTAGTTCTGACAAAATTTTGAAAATAACTTTCTCAACTGCATCTAAATGTCTGAAGTGGAAGATTCTTCCCATCTGGGTCTCAGATATTTCACCTTGGTGCATCTACTACGGCTGTGTTGATAGTTGCTGTATTTCTTCTATTCAAAGATAACATGTATATTCAAGCTTTAATATTTCTGAAATCTTCCTGCCATATCCTACATGTCAGAAGAAAGTTGCGTGTTTCTGTCACAAAAGTGAACTGTGATATTATGCAGGTAAGAATTCAACCACACATGAGGACTCTGTAGGCTGGTGTGGTGGTACAATGCCTATGTTTCCAGTTACTTGGGAGGCAGAGGAGGAGGATCTTTAGTTGGAGGCACAAAGGGAACAAGACATTGTCTCAAAAATAAAGTAAAAATAAAAAGGCTGAGGCAGTAACTTGCCTTAATATGATCACGCCTTGGATTTCAATTCCTTGTACTACAAATAAATTAAAATCATGCTATCATGACAAGTGGGTTTAGTGCTCTAGTAGTATAAATTAGCTTAATTTTTTTTTTTTTTGCCAGTCGTGGGGCCCAAACTCTGGGCCTGAACACTGTCCCTCAGCTCTTCAGCTCAAGGCTAGTGCTCTACCACTTGAGCCACAGCGCCACTTCCAGCTTTTTTCTGCTTATGTGGTGCTGAGGAATCGAACCCAGGGCCTCATGCATGCAAGGCAAGCACTCTACCACTGAGCCACCTTCCCAGCCCGAAATTAGCTTAAATTTTAAGCTAACCTAGGACCTCTAATCTTGTTAATGCCTCTTAAAAGATTATATTTTAGCCAGGCACTGGTGGCTAACACCTATAATCCTAGCTACTCAGAAGGCTGAACTGTGAGATCATGGTTCAAAGTTAACCTGGGCAGGAAAGTCCATGAGACTCTAATTTCCAATTAACCATCAAAAGCCAAAAGGGAAGCTGTGATTCAAATGGCAGAACAATAGCCTTGTGGAAAAGTGAAGGGACAGTGCCCAGTTTTGAGTTTAAGTCCCAGTATTGACATATGTGCTCTCTCTCTCTCTCTCTCTCTCTCTCTCTCTCTCTCACACACACACACACAGATTACATTTGGATACAGCCATAAGACAAAAAGCTATTGTAGAAGCAGCAGAAACTGTCACAAACCAGCTAAACAAAAGGTGTAGAATAGACTCTGGGGTTTTTCAAGCCACAGAGAGCTGGCACCAGTAACTCATGCGACCAATCAGGTACTGAGCAATTCCCTGACAGAAGTTTTCCGCTGATTTTAAGAAGTATTTAACTCCAGGGAAACTCGTCCATTCAGGAAAATATGCAGGGCTGGGAAGGTGGCTCAGTGGTAGAGTGCTTGCCTTGCATGCATGAGGCCCTGGGTTTGATTCCTCAGCACCACATAAGCAAAAAGCCAGAAGTGATACTGTGGCTCAAGTGGTAGAGTGCTAACCATGAGCTGAAGAGCTGAGGGACAGTGCCCAGGCCCAGAGTTCAGACCTGACGACTGACAAAAAAAAGGAAAATATGAAATTATGAGCTCAACCAATTAAGGCAATGAAAAGAAACACCTTTATTTATTTCCTTCTGTCATTGAATTATTTTATAAATCAAGAGACCAAAAACTTGAACCTCACATATCAGAGTTGTAGTAGGGTTTGCTAGATGATGCCTGGAATAAGGTCAAACAGCCACAAGTGAATTGTCAGAAGCATCAAAGTTCAGACTCAAACTTTGTGATATGAAATATCTTGCATACATTGCATTTAAAATATTTTGCCAGCACTGTGGCTTGAACTCAGTGCCTCATCCCCTCACTCAGCTCTCTTGATCATGGCTGGTGCTCATGCTCTACTACCTGAACCTTCCTCCAGCCCTGATTTTTGCTGGTCCTTTGGGAGACTGACTTCAAATTTTGTTCTTCTGGAGCTCAACCCTCTGAGTGGCTAGTCTACAGGTGTAGGTCACTGGAAGCTGGCTCATTTAATGCACTTTTAACCTAAAACCTTTTTTTTATTAACTGATTTTGACTATAATTTGTGAAGATTCCAAGGCCGCAATTTAGCCACTTCAGTTTGGTCTGTCCGCCCCTCTCTCTCGCTCTCTCGATCTCTCTCGCTTTCTCTTGCTCTTTGAGGGTTCTTATGTTCTCCTCCTTGAGTCCCTAAATGTCACCCCAGAAAAATGTAGAGTCATTCTCAGACAATTTCTTCTGATCCTCACACAGTCTGCGGGTACACACAGCTACCACTTGTCATTTCTTGGAGGCTCCACAGCTACCTCAGACCCAACAATGAACTGTTACATCTCCTTCTCCTGTATCCCCATCTCAGAGAATGGTGTCACAATCACTCAAGTCCTAGGTTGAATCACTGGGTAATCACGGATCCTCTTGCTCTCTTGTAGTCTCCAAATTAATTAAGACCTTGTGGCCTTTAATCACAAGTGGACTGCTTCTCTCAGTCTCTGATGACCCAAGAAATCATCTGTTTGTCTGTCTCCCTCAAGATATTCTGAGAATAAGTTTTCTAATGCTTAGGACAGTGCTGGAGGCCAGTAGGTAATTGATTTGCTGAATAACTGAATAACTTGTAAATGAATGAAAGTTTTGGTAGCCTACGGGAAGTTAAGTTTCTGTTGTTCTAAAGGAAATAATTATTAGTAGTATCCTCTTTTCTTCTTAAAAGTGGGATGAATTGAAGACAATAATAATAATATCTCCTAAGATATTATATTATCTAAGTTGAGATTTCCAAAGCACTGACAACAATATCTGGTACCCAAAATAAGTGAATTACTTTGGGAGGAGTTAGGGAATTATATGAACTGAATGTTTGTGTTCATACCCTGCCCTCACCAAAATACATTCTTGAGATCCTCCTGACTCAGCCTCCCAAGGGCTGGGATTGCGGATGGGTAGCCACCACAGCTTGCTGAAATGTTGGAATCTTAAATCTCAGTGTGGTAGCATCAGACCAGGGCCTTTGGGAGGTGACTTGGTTATGAGGGTGGAGCTCTCATGACTGGGATTAGAGCCAAACTAGCACGTGTGCTTTCAGGGGATACCAGATCTTGTCAGCATCTCGATCTTGGAATTGTAGCCTCTAGAACTCTGAGAAATAGGTTTCTGTTGTCTTGTCTGGGTAGCCCATGGTCTTCTGTTAAGAATGGTTAAGCTAAGACAAGGAAGGACAGGAAGCAAATTGTCAGAATACCCAATGGATGCAAAGTCAGAAAGCTGTTTCTCTGTTCACAAAGTTAAATGTTTTAATTTGTTTCGGTTTTGAAAGTTCTCTCTCTCTGTAGAAACTATACCATGCATAGATCTGAAACAACAGTAATAAATTGTAGGATCAGATCTATATATTCATCCTATTTTCCAATTTTGAACACAAAGCCAACATCCGACTTGGACTCTTTAAAAATGTTTCTATAAGGGGCTGGGAAGTTGGCTCAGTGGTAGAGCGCTTGCCTTGCATGCCTGAGGCCCTGGGTTCAATTCCTCAGCACCACATAAGCAAAAAGAAAAAAGCCGGAAGTGGTGCTGTGGCTCAAGTGGTAGAGTGCTAGCCTTGAGCTGAAGAGCTGAGGGACAGCGCCCAGGCCCAGAGATCAGGCCCCACAACAGAACCCTCCCCCCAAAAAGAGTGTTTTTATAATTGTATCGAGATACAATTATAAATTTCATCTTTTTGAATATACAATGAAGAGGTATGCAGGATATCCATAGAGTTGTGTAAACATTTCTACAATGCAATTCTGGAACATGTTCATTATCTCCCAAAAGAAACTTCATACCAACTGGAAGCCAACTCCCTGGTCTTCCCTCCTCCTGCACCTCATAATCATCAACTTTCTTCTGTCTCCATGGGCTCCTACCTTTGATTTTGGAGGGATACGTGGCAATAGCCTGTTAGTGTGCCAGGCATGGGGTCGCCAAAGTTTACTCCCAGATTCCAGAGGGAAAGTAAATGATTTCTGGTCGAGAACATTTGGAACCAAACTAAATAAAACAAGAGAAATTAAAATCAAATTTGTTATCTAAAAAGCTTCTCAATTTGTGATTTTTGAAACAATGCTCCCCAGTGAAAATTACATTCTCCAGGAAATATTCTGTTGGTGATTAAAATAAGTGAGAACAATCGTTAGCATTTTTAACCATGATAAAACCGTACTTGTGGAATGAAGTGGAAGAACTTCCAAGCCTGATAAAGACCATAACAATATAAATGAAAAGTTTTATCTCTGGCTCAGTATAGATTATAATATAATATTGAGAGACCAGTAAGTCTTTCTTGGTAGAAGAAAACCTATAGTGTTGTGTTTTGTTTAATAAAATCAAATTACAGGATAACCAGTATTAAATATATTCAAGGCAAGTATGGCAGCTCACACTGTAATCCTAGCTATTCAGGAAGCTGTGATTTCAGTTCAAAGCCAGCCAAGGCAGAGAAATCTGTGAGACTTATTTCCAACTAGCCACTAAAAAGCCAAAAGTGATGCTATGGCTCAAGTGATACACACACACACACACACACACACACACACACACGCACGCACACACACACACACACACATGCACACACACACACACACTGAACCCTAAGAATATAATACTTACATTTTTTATATTTTTGCTACAATACAGACATTTTTACATATATGCATATATGTTTCAAAAGGTGGCCCCTAAGAATACAATATTTTTATTGTTTACATTTTACTATTTTAATAATAAAGATTTAAAGATCAAAGATTATGAAAGATTTCACCTACCAAGTACTGAACAGTTCCATGGGAGAGAAATGTAAAAACAAAGTGAGTTTATAAAAATAAGTGTATGTGCATTGTGTCACCTCCTAGAAGTTTTAACTTAAAAACAGGTTCATTTTCTTAACATAGCCAACATATTAAGATAAATCAAATTCAGCCACCACTATAACTCAATACCTCGATTCTACTATGGTACCAACTTTGGCAAAATCATTATTTGTGTGTGTGTGTGTGTGTGTGTGTGTGTGTGTGTGTGTGTGTGTGTGTGTGTGTCAGAACTGGGACTTAAAACTGAGGGCCTCACACTCTCGTTTAACTTTTTAGCATCAGTATGGCACTCTACCACTAGTTAATAGCTCCACTTTGATTTTTTGCTGGTTAATTGGAGAAAAAGTCTCTTGGTTTTGTCTTCCTGGGCTAGTTTCAGACCATGAGCCTGGGCTGGATTCGAAGTGGCATCTTCAGATCTGAGGATGCTAAGATTACAGGCATGAGCCACTAGTTCCCAGCTTGTAAAAATCATAATTAAGAAGAAATTTGTACACTTCTGGTTTATCCCAACATGCAACTGAAGTGAGGAGGCTGAGTCTAAGTAACTTCTTACAGCCATCCTGATGCCTCTTGCTGGGTGGAGGGAACTTTCCACCCAGTACTGAAAAGCCTGGAAGTGAAAGAGGCCCTTCACTGAATTGCAGATACCTACCTCAAGGTGAGCTAGGAGAATTCTGCTTCAGAGAAATGCAGATGTTATAACCTTAGGAAAGCTTCCCATAGAGAATGCTGTGATTCTGCCTTGATAACCACCCTAAAAAGGCTTAAATCACGCACCTCTGAGTAGCCTCTAAGATTTCCCCTATATGGAAGGTTGAGGCAGTATAATCCGTAGATGGAAAAGTTCTGCTGCTGCTACCTGAGCTTTTACCTGAGTATGTCCATATAAGCTCTGCTTTTGTTGGGCTTGAGTGCCTCTTGCCCATGCATGTGGTTTTTGTTTTTAAAAGCTTTGTGTAAACTCTGTTCTGGGTTGCTGGTCTTTGAGAAAATAATCTACTATGTAGACCCTGACCTTCCAATAAAGACTTGCAATTCGACCTCCCCAAAGGTGGCTTCTCTGTTTTCTCATGACTGGATTCACATCTGAGATTTTACCTAACAACATCATGAGCTTAAATGTTGACACTCCTGTAATAATAATTATAATGATAATAATAATAATAATGATAAAATAATAAAAACAAACTAAAAGAACATCTCTCGGGCTGGGAAGGTGGCTCAGTGGTAGAGCACTTGCCTTGCATGCCTGAGGCCCTGGGTTCGATTCCTCAGCACCACATAAGCAAAAAGAAAAAAAGCCAGAAGTGGCACTGTGGCTCAAGTGGTAGAGCGCTAGTCTTGAGCTGAAGAGCTGAGGGACAGCACCCAGGCCCAGAGTTCAGGCCCCATGACCGGACCCCCCCCCAAAAAAAAGAACATCTCTCTACAGAGCTAGATTGTATGGCAGCTACTTATTTATTTTTAAATTTTGGTAACATTATATTGTTGAATAAAAAATAATGGATGCTTATTTTAGCTACTTACAAATTGGAGAATACATAAACATCTCTTGTATTTATCAAGGTAAATTATTTCCTTAAATAAAAATGCCTACACAAAAAAAAGAACATCTCTCTGATTCCCACCAGAGAATCAAGGTCACAGGGCACAATGTTACCCTGAAAACTGAATGAGGGTAGGACACAGAGAATTACAGGAGAGGTGACTCAGATCAAGATGCATTATGTCTGCAAATGTTAAAACAAAACCAATTGATCTTCAAAAAAAAAAAAAGAATCACAGCTCAATGAGACAGAAGCTGAAAAGCAGAAGCTGCTTCTGGGTCCAGTCTTGGCAAGATATATTAATGTCTGAATGATAAAATGCTAGGTGCAGACAAGCACCTAGCTTTGTCCCCTGTGAAGGGACAAATCTTAGGCCAGATCAGAAAGAAAAAAAATCTTCTGTCTTGCTTCTAGGAGGAGAAATAAGAAGTAATTATTTGTTAAATACTCCAGAGAGTATCTTTGTTCAGTTTCCTATAATGAAGGTCAGCTATCAATGAAAAGTATCTTATCAAAGTCTAATCTAATCCTGGGAATGGAAATTTATTAACCTCAGTCCCTCTTCTCACTTAAGGTAGAATGAAGGATGAGAGAGATGCTGTGAAAAACTTATAGAGGTGGCTATGTAGGGACAAAGATTCACAAAGATGGGTTGTAATCATGGGAAGGTAGACACTTTTCCTCATACAAACACCTTACACCACCACATCCACACAGCCCCAGTGTAACAGAGGATTACAATTGAAAGAACTGCAGGTTCGGGCTCCATTTAATAAAGAATTTCTAGAGGAGCCCAAAGACCACAGAGAAGACAAAATCTAAGACACTGTGGAAAATTGAAGATTTGGAGCTCTATAATTATCGTAAACAATAAACACTGCCTAAATTTTAGTCAGAAAACATGAACCTGCACAGTATTGATCTAGTTATCTCAGTTCAAGATTTCATGTTAAAAAAAATAAATGAGACATAGTAAAAGGCAAGAAGAAACAGTCTCAAGTAACAAAGAAAGCATCAGAACCAGATGTATTTCAAAATGACCAGATAAGGAAATTCAAATGGCCATGATCACTATGCCGAGGTCCCTAACTGGGAAAAAATAGACAATATACAATAATAGATTGGTAATGGAAGTATATATGCTTACAATGTAAGAAAGAATAAAAGGAATTACTAGAAATGGAAAGCCTTGTAAGAAAAGCGGAGTGTTTATCAATTTACCAGGCAAGGCCAGTAGAAGAATCCATGAGCTTAAAGAAATGTCAAGGCCAAAACTCCCACAACTGAAATGCAAAAAAAGCAAAAGAACAAACAAAACAGAGCAGAATATGTGAGACCCCTGAGAAACTACAAAAGGAGTAACATACACATACTGAGAATACCAGGAAAAAAAGGACAAGCACCAAGAGCAACAAAGTATTTAAGGAATAAAGGCTGAGAGTTTTCTAAAATTGAGACAAATAGAACCACAGAAAGCTCAGAAAACCAATCAGGAAAAACACACAAAAAAAATTATACCTATGGGGCTGGGAAGGTGGCTCAGTGGTAGAGCGCTTGCCTTGCAAGCATGAAGCCCTGGGTTCGATTCCTCAGCACCACATAAGCAAAAAGAAAAAAGCCAGAAGTGGCGCTGTGGCTCAAGTGGTAGAGCGCTAGCCTTGAGCTGAAGAGCTGAGGGACAGCGCCCAGGCCCAGAGTTCAGGCCCCATGACTGGACCAAAAAAAAAAAATTATACCTAGGCATATCATATTCAACCTATGGAAAACTAAAGAAAAAGAAATGCTTTCAAGAAACTAATTTTTAAAAATACAGTACTACAATTGAAGAACATAGATGAAAATTAGGTGGGGATTCTTTTTGAAAACCATGTAACCAAGTGAATAGATTGAAATCTTCAAGATGTGGAAAGAAAGCACTTGTCAATCTATAATCTACATCCAGAAAAATTATCCTTAGAAAACAAAGGGGGAAATAAGAACATCCTGAGACAAACAGAAGCAAAGGGAAGTTGTTGTCAGAAACCTGTCTAAAGAAAATACAACAGTTCTTTGCCAAGAGGGAAAATGCCTGTAATCCAGAGGCACTGAGGTTTGAAGCCAGCCAATGTTCTATCTCCAATTAACCAGCCAAAAGCCAGAGGTTGGGGGCGTGGCTCAAGTTGTAGCCTTGAGTGAAGAAGCCAAACAAGGTGTGAAGCCCTGAGTTCAAGCCCAAGTACCAGGATGCATGCATGTGCATGCTCACACACACACACACACACACACACACACACACACACAACTTATACTTTTACCAGTAGTATAAAAGTATACCCATGGAGGGGGGCGTGACACTGTCCAAAAGGAATATACTCCAAGCCAGAAGAAGATGGCCGTGAATCAATAGGGAATCACCCTAGCTCTCTCTAACCAAACAGATTTAGGATCCTAATACACACTTCTCCCCCAAGAGATCAACAACAACAAATGTATAAATCACAGGAACAGAAAAAAACAAAAAAATCATAATCTCTACACATAAGGATGGAAAATCACAAAGAGCCCTCCCTAATCCCTCTATCCCATGCCAGCAGCTGAAAAGCACCCTGTGGCTGCTTGGCATTCTAGGACAGATTCCAACATCCAGATGCTG